TCCTATAATAATAATTATACAACAAATGCTTTCATTGTTTTGCTTACAAATTGAATTTTCTATTAATAATCTATTTGAGAGCAAAGTATACCATAATTGGCACACATTTCAGAATAAAATAGTGTAGAATATTTTGCAAACAATGCTACTAATATTAATTTAGTAAATTCTTGATAAATATAATCATTCATATATAAATATATATATATACTATATACAGGTACTATTGATTTACATTAATTATAATATAAATTTAAAAAGAATATAACAGATTTTGAAACTATAAAATTCTGTTATTCTATATTAAAGATAAAATAAATGAGCTATGATTAAGAAATAGCTTTAATGCAATGTTAATATTTAATGTGCCTTTACTTCAAACGTTAGTACTATTTGCGAATAAACAAAATGAATGTAAAACTCATATACAGTGAGTCGTAAATAGATCTCAAGTGAGTCAACATAAGGCAAGAATAAATTGTTAAATGACATTGACTGCTATTCACTGACATATAAAACATCTAGTTTTATGGTTTAAATGTTTTTATATTTAATTTAATTATTTTAAAATCTTTACTCTCATATAACTATAAGTTCTGTTTATTAAAATAAAGTATATTTATATTTTATACTTTATATAATAAGTTGTGTTTAAAAATGTTATTATTGTTATTAAAAAGTCGAAAGTATCAATCACTTTAAGCTCTTAATTATTTCTTAATTATAAACATATAATTACTGGATATGTTGAAGATATACAGTAATTGTATTTTAGTTATAAGTTTAAAAATGTATTAAAATTAAACAATTTCTAGTTTTATACTAATAACAAGTGTTTGAAAATGACTATTATAAAGAGTTGTTACATACCTGAGACCTCTCCAAACACCTCGAACTCGACCTGACATAAGACGGGTTTAGCATCGAAGCCAATGTCCAGAATTGATGTTTTGTCCCACGGGTTAAGTGTGGACCTAATGGTCGAGTATTGATGCATAGCTGTAGTCATTCTTCTCCTAATGATTGCCCGTATAATGCCTTCACGAATGCAAGTCTTCAATACAAGAGCTCTGGTGTAACTGCTTCTCCAGTTGGCACTCGTACTCAACACAGACTCAATGCTCATCCCTTTCACTACATTGAAATACTCTGAAGGATTTAAGAGCGAAGAGGAGAGCATTTTTATAAATAGATTTCTCCTAAATATTCCACTCAATATCCAAATATTTCTGGCATTAAACCTATAAAACCAATTGATTTGATTAAAGGTTATTACGGATTATTATTTGTTATTCCTATACGTTATACATTAACAGTAACATTTTAAATATACAGTACAATATTCTTGTTGAATTATAAATCACCAACTTCATTTTATTATAAATATCATTTTAATCACATCTTCAGACAAAACTGTTTTTCAATTTCTGTTTGACATAATGTCAAAAGATTTACTGAACAAACTTTTTTATAATTAACTCTAATTTTTTATTGTTTGACTTTTAAACTTACTTTTTTGTAATTTTTTGTGATACAGTGTTAACAATCAAAACATATATTAAACTTAATTAAAATTTATAATTAAATTTAGGTATAAAAAGCACTTGAAAAAATTACTCAACCAATAGATGAAAGTTGTTGTGATTGTTATTATTGGATGCGATGCCAAACACTCAGATCACTTCATTTGATGCACACTTAATGCAAAATTTAGTCATTATTTAAAGTATTACAGGAAATGCAGATTATGTTTATAAAACCTTGAAAATAATGCTTCTATTATTTAATCGATGCACTTATCTTATGTATAATCCCTTTCAACAATAAAAGCTATTATAATTATATTAAGAGCTTAAATAAACGCCTAACCAAATCTACATTGTTTTTTGTTGATATAAACAATTATTTGCAGTACTTTTGTTATATATAAATCAATTGTTGGTTCTGTTGAATGAGGCCATTGTATTAAACACGTGTTTATTTTGAAACATTTATAAAATTTATTTTAATTACAAATAATTACAAAATACAGAATTTATTTATGCTATAATTACAAGATGATCAGATTGACTGGTGATGTGCACTTCGGTTCGAAATATAGCCTAAATATAAATTCAAATTCGTAATTAATTAACAAAGTATGGATAAGTTTCGATTAATAATAAAAATAATAAATATGTAGCCAATCCTTAGTATTAAGCAATGCATTGAACAGGCATTCAAAAGTGGAAAATTGGCTCTATTTTAGTATTGCATTAAATATCTCGTGTAAATTCAATTCAATTGTGAATTTACACTCAAGTGATCAATGCGTTTAACCAAACAATTTAAGTAATGTATAGTTATGACCAAAAATACCTTAAAAATTCGCAGTCTTTGTCATCAATTGTTTTGACAATTAATACACCAAATAAATTGCAATGAAGACTACGTGTAGATAAATCTAAACAAAGTATAAGAAAAAACGTTATATGATTTGTAGCCAATCCTTAGTAATTAGCAATACACGGGACAGGTATTCAAAAGTGGAAAATTGGCCCATAATTTGCTTTTGCATTGAATATCTCGTGTAAATAGCATTCAATTGTTAATTTACACACAAGTGATCGATGCGTTTAAATATAACTTTAAAAATAGTTTAAAATACCATTAAATATAATCGTTAATTCAATCACTCAATCGATTAAGACTTCACTGCCTTCAGCGGCGGTGTCGTCGTTGGCAGGAATGGCGGCCGTGTATTGCGTTCGCCAAAACTCGGGTTGACTGCCGTCGGCGAACACATTGCATACAAACTTAAGGACATCGAGTTTATTGAACTCATTTTCGGCTCTGAAGCCCCACTTGAACTCATGAGTGATTGGATCAGATCCGGCGATCTTCTCATACTTCACATACATCTGTCGAACCCATACTTCAGTCAACAGTTTCTTAAGCGTAGTATTTGTGGTCAAATCGTCTGATAAATCAAACATTAGTTAACAAAACATTCAAAGCGGCCGTTCATACCATTCAATTGAATCGCTGTCTTAGAACTGACATCAAATCCAATCCGTTTAAGAAACCTCCACATGAGGTCCTCTGGACAGGACTGTTGGCTCATGAATATGAGCGCCAATACAGTGGTCAAGAGCGCAGACATGAAGTGCTGGCTGTCGGGCATTGAGTCGCCGTCCATCACATGCTTGAGTCCATCGGCGGGCAGTTTATTGACCACAATATAAGTGTTGGTGGCGTCCGGACACTCCACTAACGACAACCCAAACACACGTGACATCTCTGACCGCACCTATGATTCAAGTAAATGTAATTCAAGACTATAACGAGTGGTGAGTGAATACCCTTTTGATGATCGCATCGCTTTGGCCACGACTGGGAAGTGACTGTTTGCCGGCCACTGTCTTCAACAAATCGGCCCTTTTTATTACAGTCTTCTTGTGGCTAATTATCAACAGATATTTAACGCAATCGGCGGTCAAACGGTCAATGATATCATCGGACATGTGGTCGTCATTTGGATCACTCGCTTCATGTCGTGAAGTGGATCCAGTGGGACGACTGTCAGGCGTGTCGTACCGAACAATCGCCGAATTCCTGGCCGAAGAGGCTGTGGATCTGAGCCTCGATGTGGAGGTCATTGTTTTAACTCGCGATCAAATCAATGGTGTATTTAATGAACACGTGTTGTATTAGTGAAGGCTTTGTCGCATAAAACACACATTTGGCCACATTTTGGGCAAACAGTTGAGTGCTATTAATATTGCTTTACAACCCATTCATATATAACGTTATATTGGAAAAGGGAATGGAGTTTAATGTAATGTATAAAGCATTGATTCTTAGGTGACTAAAAAAGTGTTTTAGGTACTTAAAAAGTTGCTTAAAAATGGCCAGATAAAAACCACTTTGTTTTGTTTTTTTGTTTAAATGCAA